CATATCTAGTTGCCGCTGTCGACAGTATTTAAAAACCTGATGGCAGAGGGAATAAAAGAATTTGCATATCTATTAGTTTTCCTTGGGGGGGTAAGGTAGCGCCGTCCTGAGGGCATTAGACAGAATTCCTGACTAAGAACATGGTCAGGATGACTCATGACCCGTCTAGCCTTCTGGAGCACCCGTTTTTTCAAGAGGGAGCTCAGGTCAATAAGCTGAACTCCAATAATCTTGGAGCAGAATTTAACAATGCTGCCGAGACTATTCTTGTCCCTCACAGACAATATATCAAACCAGCAGACAAAAGAAAATGTTAAAAGGCTTTCAATAAATGAATAGTAAAAGTTATATAAGATCCTCTGAGATACATTGAATAAGTTTAGCTTCCGCATCAAGTGGATTCTTTGTTGTCCACGCTTAATGATTGACTCTGTGTTTTTGTCAAACTTAAGATTGGAGTCAAACATGGTTCCTACTAGGTACTTATACGTCTCTACAATTTCAACATTTTCACCATGAATGATACTGGCTTCTGGGTTAAAATTAGTGCTGCACGATTAATCGTATCGCAATCGTAATCGCGATGTCAAACCTATGCGATTATATAACGCAAAATGCCGCGATTTTATATGAAATAAACAAATTAGGGCTATTAACGCAGCATCTCTTCTTTTTTGTCATCCTTTGACTAGTGTTACATGATCCCGCTCTTCGTGCAAATGCCTTAAAACCATTTTGCACGACAAGAAGTCAAAAGAGAGCGCGCTGCCTGTGAATGTCCTGAATGTGACTCACAGAATAACGCGCGCCAGTATAAATGCGCATGCACAGACCGCGTGCCAGAATACAGTTCTCTTTCGAGCTTGAACGAACAATAACACACACAATTATTATGCCAAAATGTCGTTTTGTCGATCATCTTCATAACATAAGAGCAGTCTTATGATGGACGAAAGAGTTGTGCTTGTGAGAGAATGAGGCGCGTGAGAGATCCGCGTCTCGGCAACGGCTGCTCTTAAAGGGCCAGCAGCGAATAAAGCGTTCCGTCAGTAAAGTTAATCAAAGAACAAAGGGAACAGAAAATTACTCACTGCTCTTCTAAAGAAGTTTTGTAGCTTTAATAAGGATTAGTCTATATATAATTTATAATTCATGCAGCCAGACTGTTTGATAACTTTTAGAGATGCGCGGTTGGCGGTTATAGCCGCGGACTCCGCGGATAAACCGCGGATCGGGGGGGATGACGTGACCGGAAAAAATATTTTAATTAAATTCGGGCGGGTGGCGGGCGGTTTCTAGTCTCGCGGCTGTCATCAGCAGCGCCTTGTATCAGCGGATGGCGGGCGGGTGCGGTTTTGAAAATTGGTCAAAAACGTTGGTGCGGATGGATGGCGGACGGATGAGTTTTGTGATGCGGTTGCGGATGAAATAATAGCCCATCCTCGCATCTCTAATAACTTTATTCAATTTCTGTATATAAATCTGTATATAAATCCTCAATCCTACCTGTTAAGACAGGAAGGGCACAGGTAAATATGGCATTTATTATGGGTTTATGTGAGGATTGTTTGAAGTTCACTTAATTTAAAACCTGTTATTATTTTTTTAAGCCTAATAAATATTTTAAAAGTTGATAGCTTTCAATTGTATTGATGGAATCACGGTAATGTTGGATGGCTATAATTAACGTTTAAAATGTGGGGGGTGTCGTCATTTTTATCCAGACATCAATGGTTTATTTATCATTATAGGTGTTATCAATCATTTAGTTGTTGTTGCTAGTTTGAGTTGAGAAATACACATTAATACACAGAATGATCACTAATCTGTGTGTGCATTTTACTTTAGAACCAAGCAAGTTGACTCATGAAACCATTTATTATATTGCAATCGCATATCGCAATCGCAATATTGACCTCATTAATCGCAATATGACATTTTCCTCAAATCGTGCAGCCCTAGTTAAAATGATTCTTTCTAAAATCAATGATTAACTCCTTCGTTTTTGACACATTAAGGTCCAGGAAGTTATCACACCACTTCAAGAATTGTGATAAGGCACTTCCATGGCCCGATTGGGCCCCCTGAAGAAGTGACAGTAGGGCAGTGTCATCAGAAAATTTCACAAGGTAGCTACCCTGTTGGGAAGTCCTGCAGCTATCTGTGTACATAATAAAAAGCAAAGGAGAAAGGACACAGCCCTGCGGAGACCCTGTGTTTGAAGTGGTGATACTGGACATGTGGTCATTCACAAGTACCTGCTGGAGTCTGTCTGTTAAAAAGTTTAAGAGCAACAATAAAATCTGATCAGGTAGATTAAAATAAGAGGGAAGTCGCTCAATTAAAATATGAGGCTGCATCTTGTTAAAAGCTGAAGAAAAATCAGCAAATAAAAGTCTTGCATGTGACTTGGGTTTTTCAAGGTGCTTGTATAATCTGTCTAAAATAAAAATCTTGGAATCATCCACACCTTTTCCAGCTTGATAGGCAAATTGTAATGGATCTAGTTTGCCATCGATTAGGGAGACAATTTCATCTTTCAGTATTTTCTCGAAAGTTTTCATCACAAGTGATGTTAGAGCAACTGGTCTGAATTCGTTCAGTTCTCTTGGATTATTAGATTTAGGGACAGGTATTATAATTTAAGTTTTCCATATGGCAGGAATCTGACCACATTCGACAGACATCTGAAAAAGTGTTGTAAACACCTCACTGAGCTGGTCCGCACAGTGACACAAAGCGCGTCCACAGATGGAGTCAGGGCCGGCAGCTTTACGCATGTTTACTTTCTTAAAAAGATTTGTGACATTACCTTGTGTTATCACTAGACTATTCTGTGGAACCAAAGATTCACGCATTTCAGAGATATTATTCACAAAGTCAGACCTTTCAAAACGAGAAAAGAAAGAATTAAAGACATTTGCCAAGTCAGTATTATCTACACCATTTACATGAATGACCTGCTTGGTCTCACAGGAAGACTGATTAATTGATGCCATAGATTTTATACCTGTCCTTTTATACCTATTGTAGGTCCCCTCTACAATACAGACTTTCGATTTTATTTCTGTACTTCATTTTGGCCTTCTTTATTTCGACCTTAACTTCTCTGGAAGCTGCTTTTTTCTCCAGGCAGACTGATCTCATGAAATGGCGTATTTATGACACGCCAATTCGTATTTCCATTTTTGGCGTGCTATCAACACGCATAATCGCTTTTCAGCGTGTTTATCAACGCCTTTGACTTAATGTTATATTACTGTATTATGTATATATAGACATATGACCTACCCCAACCCCGTCCCTAAACCTACCCGTCACTGGGGTTAATACCATTTATGAGTGTTCTCCTACCATCCTAGGAAAAGAAATATCGCTCCACTGATGTAGATATAGATCTTGCTTCGTTTCGCTCTGACATTTAACGGCGTACACATACACGCGGAATCACTCGGACGTTTAATGGCGTAGACATCCACGCAAAAGATTTCGGCGTGGACATACACGCGGATAGCTCAAAATGCGTATAGATAACACACCACTTGACTTGAAAGTGGCGTGTATGTTTACGCAAAGTCATGATGTCATGTTGCTCCAGGGGGTTACCTGAATAAAATATTCTTTTCTTTTTATTAATGGCAGATTTAAGTTCTTTAGTCACCCAAGGTTTGTTATTTGGGAAAATGACACATTTTTTAGATGGGATTACTGAATCCACGCAGAATGTAATGTATGATGAAACAGTGTCTGTAATTTCGTTCATATCATCACAACCATCATAAAAACATTGCCAGTCTGTACACTCAAAGCATGCCTGGAGAGAGGAGATGCTGGCCTCTGACCAGATCTTCACTGTCCTTTCCTCCCGCTCTAGGCGCCTAAAACATGGTTTGTATACAGGCATGAGATAGACACTGTCATGGTAAGAAGCACCAAAAGAAGGCATAGGCAGAGATTTATAAGCCCCGCTTACTGAGCCATAGCATAAATCTAGCATAGTGTTCTTCTGTGTGGTAGAACAAGTCACATACTGGTCATACGTCCTCAAAGACTTTTTTAGATTACAATGATTAAAATCTCCAAGGATAAACTTGGGTGCCTCTGAGCAGATAGAGTCCAGTTTATGCGTAACGTCAGCGATCAGCTGGGCAGCAGCTGTGGCGTTGGATCGTGGGTGAATGTACACTAATGTGTAAAAAAGCTGTTGAAATTCACGAGGCAAATAAAAGGCGCGGAGGGAAATGGTCAACAGTTCCACGTCTGTGGTACATCTTCTCTTTAATCACGACAGTGTTACAGTACCTTTTGTTCACGTAGAAGCACACGCCTCCTCCTCGGTTTTGCCGGTGATCACCGTTGACCGGTCCATACGAATTGGGCTTCCAAACCCAGTTAAGTTCAGGTCCGAGTCCGGGTCTGCATCCCCGAGCCATGTTTCGGTGAAGGCAAGGAGACAAGTGTCTTTCACTTCCCGTTTAAACTTGGCATACGTTTCCAGCTCATCTATCTTGTGTCTGATAGACTGCACGTTTGACAGCAGGTCCGAAGGAAGTGGCGGTAGTTTGCGGCGGTTGTCAAGCCGAAGAGTCTTAAGTCTCCGACGTAAACCACCTCTTCTTCCTCGTTTCCGATGACGGTCCATCGGTATGCCCGTTGATACGGTTCCCACTGCAGAGGTCCGTAAGGACAGGAGAAGCTCACGGCTTACTTTCCCGTATACACCATGTCCTACGGCGTGACTGGCAAAGCCCAGAAGTAGCGTTGACATGCAAAAAAGTGCAAAAAGCTCCACAAGTAATCCCATAATCTGCATTACTGAAGCACTGACGATGTATGAAGTTCCTTTCATACACACGCGCCACTCTTAAAAACAGTTTAAGACACAGTAAAAACACAATAAAACAACAAAAACGACTGGGAGACTACTGCGTCGCACACTATGAAGCGCCCCTAAAATACAATTTAGAGTGAACTGTTATCAGAGCTGTCTGTGTCCAAGTTATTCATTTCAGAAATGTACTTATACAAATCACACAGTTAGCTAACAATGTATTTATTTAAAGCAGAAACAATGTGATCGTTGAGGTAATGTGAACATGTTAATAAATGATTCGGATATATAGAAAATTGTAGCATTGGTGCATGTTGATTCAGAGATGCTTCATCTGAAGTCTTCATAAGAGTCTGGATCCAAACTGGAGCTGACGTACTCTAGTTACAACTTTGGGCAATGATTTTTCTTATGAGTCCGTAGATGAGATAATTGGTTGAATCTCTTCTCACATGAAGAGCACTGATACGGCTTCTCTCCAGTGTGAACTCTCTCGTGAGCTTTCATGACTCCTGACCGAGCGAAACTCTTCCCACAGTGTGAACACTTGAACGGTTTCTCTCCAGTGTGAATTCTCTGGTGTCTTTTTAACAGTGTGTTTGTAATAAAGCTATGCCCACAGTCAGAGCACACATGAGGTTTCACACCAGTATGAATACTCTCATGCACTTTTAAATACTTCAGTAGTGTAAAACTCTTTCCACATAAAGAACAAAAGTGAGGCTTCAGAGCAGTATGAGTTTTAAGGTGTGTTTTTAAGCTTGATGCCAAAACAAATGTTTTATCACACTGATCACAGCTGAATGATCTCACTTCAGAGTGAGTGTGTAGATGATATCTGAGAGAGCCTTTCTGAGTGAAAGTCTTTCCACACTGAGTGCATGAGAACAGATTTTTTTCAGTGTGAATTTTCATGTGTTTATTAAGGTCTGATTTACGTGTGAAACTCTTTCCACACTCAGAGCAGGTGAAAGATCCTTTGACTCCAGATTTTCCAGCTTGTTTTTGTGTGAAATTCTCTTCAGTCTTTAAAACGACTGCATTTCCATCTTCATTTTTGAAAGGATGAGATTCTTGAAACAGATGTTGTTTATCTTCATTTTTATATTTCAGTTCTCCATCTTCATTTGTGAAATGATGCTGTTTGTCTTCATTCTCTTCCATCGGGTCTAAAATCAACATTAAATTCCCCAAAATAAAAAAAGGACAAAGGAGAAACAAAGGTCATTTTTAATTTAGCAGATATCCAGTTTCTACAGAGTCTACTAGTATCTAGTTTTAGATGTATTGTTATATCCTCCTGAGAACCAGAAACTGTTTTTGAGTGTACCTTTTTTTTTTTGTCTTTTGAACTTTTGAGTTATTTGGGGGGTTTCTTGTGATAACTTGCTGGAGGCTGTGATTTGTTGACCTCCACACCTGATCCAGATATAAGGACCGTCTCAAACACTCAACCTTTGCCATTATTGTGCCATCGTGTGAGATTTTGTCGCCGTTTTGTCTAGTTTATTGTACCAGAGAGATTGTGAGTCACTATTTGAGATTGAGAGTGTGTTTGTTATTTTCTGAGAATTCTTGTTAACTTGACTTGTGTGTGTGTGTGTGTGTGTGTGTATATATATTAGTGCTGGGCAACGATTAAAAAAATTTATTGCGATTAATCGCATTGTTACGCGCAAGAGTGAATAGTGAATTCTAAAGTAGTGTATTGCGCACTTTTGATTTAAATATACTGCTATATACACAAAAGTGCAATAACATGTGGTTTGCCAAAACTTTAAACAAATAAGCTGCTTTATACCAGCAGTATTCCCTTTACACAGTAGCAATAAAATATTTATTGTAAATCTCAACTTAAACAATAATGTAATCAAATCAAATATTAAAACAAAGCTATGCCACTGCCAGGGCATTACCTTTTATCTAGCTTGTTAAAACGAGTCCAGTTTTCTTGTTTTTCTTTCTGAACAGGTATCAACAGGTGTCTTTTATCAGGGAGCAGCAGAAACAGTATATGTAGTCAGAGGTCATGACCACTACTACAGATATAAGTCGACCAACGTTACTTCTCTGATAGTAGCTTAGGTTTGGTCATGACATGGTTTCCCACGTACACTAAGATTACATTAAACAGATGTAAAGCCCAATTTATACTTCTGCGTCGAACTCACGGCGTAGCTACGTACCTGCTGTGTGTAGCGCGCGTACCGACGTGCACCTCTCCAAAAATGTAACAATGCGTCAAATATACGCGTACCGCAAGCGCTGTGATTGCTAGAACCGACAAGCTAGTGCGACAAGCGAGTGTGTTCCTGTGAAACTGTTGCAGTCATGCTCGCCTCACGTACGCGCCCGCGCCCTCCCGTTGCCAAAGTTGAATTGACGACGCGCAGCACAAATCATTGGAAGAGAGACTGATCCTCGGCTCGCTGTTTGTGAGTTTCCACAATCTAAATAGTTATCAGGACATCAACAGAAGGGAATTCACATGGCAGAGCATCTCCGCTAAACTAAACGCAGGCATATCAGGTAAAGTCATGTATAATTTTAATTTAAGTTAAAAAGGCTACAGCTGCGTAGCGCACAGAAGCCGTTACCATGGTTACTATCCATAGAGCGCCTGCCATTCACTCGCGGAGCACTGTCACCTGAGAGAACCTGCCAAAGCCCCTCCACTGCTTGTTTGGGTGGGTTATTTGCTGGCTGACCAACATCCCACCCCTCCTGTGATCCATGGTTTGACTGTAGGCCTATGTGTATTCAGAGCCAGTGAGCAACGGACTTTCAAAATAATAATAAAAAAAAATTTGCGTTAACGTGCGATAAAAAAATTGTCGGCATTAATTAATAAATGCGTTAACGCGATAATAACGCGTTAACTTGCCCAGCCCTAATATATATATATATATATATATATATATATACACACACACTCACCTAAAGGATTATTAGGAACACCACACTAATAATGTGTTTGACCCCCTTTCGCCTTCAGAACTGCCTTAATTCTACGTGGCATTGATTCAACAAGGTGCTGAAAGCATTCTTTAGAAATGTTGGCCCATATTGATAGGATAGCATCTTGCAGTTGATGGCGATTTGTGGGATGCACATCCAGGGCATGAAGCTCCCGTTCCACCACATCCCAAAGATGCTCTATTGGGTTGAGATCTGGTGACTGTGGGGGCCATTTTAGTACAGTGAACTCACTGTCATGTTCAAGAAACCAATTTGAAATGATTCGAGCTTTGTGACATGGTGCATTATCCTGCTGGAAGTAGCCATCAGAGAATGGGTACATGGTGGCCATAAAGGGATGGACATGGTCAGAAACAATGCTCAGGTAGGCCGTGGCATTTAAACGATGCCCAATTGGCACTAAGGGGCCTAAAGTGTGCCAAGAAAACGTCCCCCACACCATTACACCACCACCACCAGCCTGCACAGTGGTAACAAGGCATGATGGATCCATGTTCTCATTCTGTTTACGCCAAATTCGGACTCTACCATCTGAATGTCTCAACAGAAATCGAGACTCATCAGACCAGGCAACATTTTTCCAGTCTTCAACTGTCCAATTTTGGTGAGCTCTTGCAAATTGTAGCCTCTTTTTCCTATTTGTAGTGGAGATGAGTGGTACCCGGTGGGGTCTTCTGCTGTTGTAGCCCATCCGCCTCAAGGTTGTGCGTGTTGTGGCTTCACAAATGCTTTGCTGCATACCTCGGTTGTAACGAGTGGTTATTTCAGTCAAAGTTGCTCTTCTATCAGCTTGAATCAGTCGGCCCATTCTCCTCTGACCTCTAGCATCAACAAGGCATTACCGCCCACAGGACTGCCGCATACTGGATGCTTCTCCCTTTTCACACCATTCTTTGTAAACCCTAGAAATGGTTGTGCGTGAAAATCCCAGTAACTGAGCAGATTGTGAAATACTCAGACCGGCCCGTCTGGCACCAACAACCATGCCACGCTCAAAATTGCTTAAATCACCTTTCTTTCCCATTCTGACATTCAGTTTGGAGTTCAGGAGATTGTCTTGACCAGGACCACACCCCTAAATGCATTGAAGCAACTGCCATGTGATTGGTTGATTAGATAATTGCACTAACGAGAAATTGAACAGGTGTTCCTAATAATCCTTTAGGTGAGTGTACATATATATATATATATATATATATTAGGGGTGGAACGGTACACAGAAGTCACGGTTCGGTTCATACCTCGGTTCAGACATCACGGTTCGGTACGATTTCGGTACAATGGAGGGAAAAGCAAAACAAAAATGCAGAAGGCATTGTATTTTTTAAATAAGTTTTGTTAATAAAGGCATAGAACCAGTTTATTTGTAGTGCACTGACAATAGTTTTATATAATTCGTTTCTTAATTAAATTAATAAAAAGACAAAAAGACCTTGCGGTATGTTTGGTAATTGTACCTGAATTAATTTAAAATTAATTTGCTATATTTCAGATAAATATATTTGTTTTCCTTAATTTTAATTAACATTATTAATTAACAATGTAACATTATTCTCATCTGAATTATAAATAATTGATTTCTGTATAAAATAATACTACCATTAAAAACGCATTCGATTTTCTTTTTTAATCAATGTAGAATGTGTAAGATCAGTGCTCCGAGGACGAGAAATGAAAACCAATGCGATATGATGAATGTTTAAAAGATGGGACCCACAGACTGTTTTGAAATGGAGTTGGATAAATATGTTTTGCTTTTAAAACAGTGTGTGTGTGTGTGTGTGAGAGAGAGAGAGAGAGAGATTTTGGTTGGGTGACAGTTGTAGGTTACAGTTTGACAAGAGTTTATAGTGTGACAAAAGCACAATGTTGTGTTTTATTGCGAGTGTACACAAATAAGTAAACACTTTGCAGGTTTAATGATCTGTATGAACAAAATGACGGAGTATGTTTTTTATGTTTCCACTGTTCGATCGCGCCCGCGCCTCTCTCTCTCACACACAAACACACACTCCAGCATTGCAATCTTGACATCGCAGCCTGTTCATTATGCGGTCACACCAAACGCCAATAGAGCGTTAAATTCGCGTCTATCGCGTCTAGTTCGACGCTAGTCCAAAGCGAATAGGACGCGCGTATAAAGCCAACGTTTGAAGTGAACGCGCGTTCAGAGCTAAGCCGATGGTACAGATTATGTGTCCCTAAAGAACCCGCGTATCTAACAGTAGTTCCGCATTACATTAATTAATTTTCACGCGAGTTTTATTTATTTTTATACCGTGTATTCTCCGTGTAAATTCGTGCACCGAACCGTGACGCCCGTACCGTTTCGGTTCGGTACGAATACATGTACCGTTCCACCCCTAATATATATATAGTGTAAATATTATGATTTATAATTTTTGCCAAATTAAGGGATGTTGGAGGTTTGACGCCATTTAATTTTGTACATATTTGTTCACACTGTTTTTGGTTTAGGGAGGAAGCTAAGTTTATTTTGTTTTTAGAAAAATAAGGTTGATAAAAAGATTTTGTTTGTTATTTTGGCCTAGTTTGCCCCTGATGCTAAACCCTGGTTGAAAATAATAATACTTGTATTATTCTGCATCTCTCTGGTAGCGAGACTCTCTCTTTTCCTTTTACAGCTGATCCATAGCGGTAATAACAATTACGTTGTTTGGAGCCTAAGAAACTAATAAAAAAAAAAAAAAAAAGTGAAAATCATTTTATTCATATTTATGCTGTGTCCTCTGTAGAGGACATCAGGACTCAGTTAATAAGAAAATAATCTGGCATGATAAGACAGGCCTGCCCCCAACTAAAGATTTTTCTAGTCGACTAGTAGTTGTTCATTTAAGCCATTAGTCAACTAATCGCACGTTTATATAAATTTAATTTCTTAAATATATACTTAGGAAAATACTAAACCATAATAAGCATTTAATATAGTGTAATATATAGTATATTCCGTGCTCTCTCTCTCTCACACACACAAACACACATAAAGAATATAAAGAAGATGAGAAGATAAAAAAATAGCAAGGAAACATTTCAATTATTTAATAAAGTCGTTTTTTTGTGTTTTTATCTGCAAAGATGAAGTTGTTGACGCTGACTTGTCATCTGCGCCTATAGAGAAGCCTAACCTTTCAAACAGATTACATAATCACAGAGTATTTATTTTTTATTTGAATTGGTTAGTTTAAAACAAAAACATTAAAAAATTTCTATAGATATATTTTTATGAAAGATTCACAGAATGATTTGATGCACTATTTTACTTAATGATATATGTGTGTAAAATTGCCATAAATGTGTAGTCCCGTTCTACACGTTACGACCTCTCATAAAATATCTATTTATTCACTCACAACTAGGGTTGGGTATCGTTTGGGTTTTATCCGATTCCAGTACCTACTCGGTATTTTTTAAACGGTTCCGGTGCTTAAACGGTTCTTAAATCGGTACTTAAGAAAATGAAACCGCACACACTTTATCAAAAAATAATACCCTTTAATTTACAGGGCCAAACTGGACACAATATTAACTTAAATCTTTAAACAATATAAATACAAGTAACATATGGTAATAATAAAACCAATATAAAATAAAAATTCATATTTACATAATATCAAATGAAACAATATTGTATCAAACAATGTAATAATACTGGAGATTAATAGAGATTACTAGCAGGCAGAGCTGCCAACTCTCACGCATTGACCGTGAGACTCACGCAAATGACCCTTTTCACACAGAAAAATCGCGGACAAAGAGGACACTGACAGACAAGACCGAGAAGGTTACTTTTGATATGGAACAAATCCACAGCTGTCAGATTCTGTCAATATTTTTACGAGATTCACACAATAAATAACGTTTTGGCTCTTTGAAATGTGACAGATCGCTGTAGCGCGTCAGTTCAAGCGGCACGTGATACAGCAGCCTACAAATCCACTGCTTCTTAGCTACGCAGCGTTGAGTGAACCTATGAAAGAGAACATCTCTGGTTACTGGTGTAACATATCTCTCAATAGGGAACGGGACGCTGCCAAGCTCCTCGTGCTGCCGACCAGCTTCCTTTTTCGGCAGAGAGAAATCTGAGGAGCAGATGGCGCGCGCGCGCCAACATAGTATGACGACGTAAGTGCGTCGATGCGGCGCCCGCGCCATCAGCCAATGGATTGGCTTGATTCTATATGGGATTCAGACTATCGGCACACCCAGAGGGCGTTCTGACGCGTAATTTTACACGTGAAATGCAGCCAAACCTTGTGAGAAAGAGCGCGCATGCGAGACAGAAGAAACTGTGCTCCAAACTGTGTAGCACACGCACGGCGGAGAGCGAGCGAGCGAGAGACTTTGTGTGTGTGTGTGTGCGCGCGCGTGTGTGCCTAATGAAGTTAGGCACCGAAATCAGGCACCGAAATTTTCGTTCTTATTCGGTCTGGTTACTACCGTTTACGTCGGAACCGGTTCCCTATTGGCACCGAGTTTCGGTACCCAACCCTACTCACAACAGACATGATAATAATGAACATACCAACCAAGGAAAGAATTTAGCAGATCAGACAACAACTAACATGGAAAAACAAAATAAAGATCTAAAGACACTTTAAGTGTAATAATGGGAGTAATAACTTGGCAATATTTCTATAAGAATATATGATGGACATGTATGAAATCAGTGCCCTGTTTCATAATAGAGTCATATTCTGATTTGAAACCCCATAACGGTTTGCTGAGATGTTTATTTACGACAAACAATTTGAAAATTACTCATCATCATATTTAGATAAGAGATAATAAGATAATAAACCTCCAAACGTTTGGTATTTCTGAAAAGCCCTGAATGTGCTCTTTACAGGACTGTGACATGAATGATCTCAGAGAAATTCGCTAAAATATAATGTCCTCTAGAGAGGATAAAGTCTATGCCTGGGTCTCAGAAGGATTTGTGAGTTTTCATCTTAATGTTCCTCATCAGTCATTAAAGAGAATGAAGGAAAACACCAACCTATTTGTTCCTCTGTATCTTCATCTTTTATTCTGCAGGGTTCTTCCTTAATCTCCATCTTTACAATAGTATGTCCGTAGTTTCTCCTGGAGTAATTCCTCCTGCTTGCTTCTTCTCCTGTGGGAAGATGTGAATATTCCCCAGCATTTAAACTCTCATGAACGGCTGTGGGAGCTTCACTGACTGAAGGAGTGAATTGTGGTCGTTGTTGCTCATTTAGCAGATGATCATCACACTTACAATCACTCGAGATTATCCAGGTGCAAATGTTTTGATCAAACAACTGTTTAGAAACAATTCAACTCCTCTAGCTGATTTTATGTTGCTCTAACATATAATTTACATGCATTAAAAACGAGTTACCAGGTGTCATTTGTTCGATGATGATGATAAATAATGTAAAATGAAAACAACTCATAATCTTAACCAATTGTAATGTGAAAAACCAGCCAGTTACGAGATTACCTTTCACAAGCGTCATGAACAACATCAGTCGGTTCATTTCGATTAATTTCCGAGTGATTCACTAAATGAACTGACTCGTTTAGTCGTTTGGATTTAGATTTATCCTAATAAATAGTGATGGCAATTTCAAAACACTGCTTCATGAAGCTTCGAAACCTTTACGAATCTTTTGTTCTGAATTAATGTTTTTTTTTTTTTTTGCAATAAAAGTGCAATAGATTTGTAAAAGGTGTTTTTAAAGAGCAACATGCAGGTTGGACACCCCTATATAGAATAGTGTATGTTGATGATAGAACAACTAGATTTTCTTAACTGGAGTAATATTTATTTAGCCATTAACGATATTTTGAGATAAATTGTAATAACTTCCGCGTCTGTAAAGCACTAACCGGAAGTGACGATCGGCGAGGGAGTCTGCTCAAGTTCAAGCTCAGATTACAATGGATGCGAATGAAGAAACCGAGTTCTCCGATGTGGACGAACATGCTTATGATGGCCCACAGTACCTGATGAACTTTGCAGACATTTGATGTTGCACTGTGACCCACAATGAAGGACTGGTTCAGTATTGTGTAGAGAGAAGCCCTCTGTATCTTCGAAATCTACAGTGCTAGGTGCGTCTATCCCTTCATTACTGGCTGCACTCTCTGCCAAAATCTGAAAACACAGAGAAAAAACACAATAACATAGAATACAAGCTTAGTTACAAACTAGACCAGTAATAAATCAGTAAATAAAAAAGAGATATAAAACCAAAGCAACTCTGACAAGTTAAAAAAATCGAGGGGATTTCTACATATTGGGTAATACATGGACCTTGCAATTTAATGGAGAGTAACTTATAACGTTAGCCTACTGGGATACAAAATCAGACGGGAAGGCGGCGGGAGAACAGTTTGAATTGAAATGCGGGGGAAACGGGAGAGTTGGGCTAACGTTAGCTTCCTGCCAATAGCTAACGTTATAGGATTGTGCAAACTACTAAATTCATTTCAGAAGGCAGACAGTTACGTTACGACAACCTGTCCTAAAGTTCAGTCTCTCTCCCTCTCGCTGTATTATTATACAAAATAAATATTAAATATTTTATTTAATAAAAAATACATTATATAAAAACATTATACTAAACATTATACTATTATTATTATTATGAAATTACACAATTTAAGAGTTAAAATAATTAAAAGTAAGACTTACTCTGCTAAGTGCTCGTTTTCGTTGCACAGAATGTTTGCTACCGTTAGCACTTGGTCCTCCAGTCCCGCCCGCGCCAAAATCCGGTGTAAACTTTGACGGTGGACTTGATTCCATCGAGTGCACCGAGGGAACAGCATCAGTAATCAGCCTCACGTGGTCCTTACTCCGAAATCCCATCCGAGACTCCATCAAATCTCCAGGTCGATAATTCTCCGGAGTGAAATGTGCGCTACAAACGACCGAGTGTGTGGTGACAGACGCGGCAGTGAAGTCTGCTCTCTTCACCTGCACAAAACGCACCCAAGACCGAAAAGCCTTGTTTTTCCTAGAAGGAAAATGATGGACACGATGTCCTGACAGGCTGGAATTCGTGCAACTAGCACAAACACAATAATTTACCATTATGGCTTCTCTAAAACTCGATCTAAAACTTTCTGTCTCTCAATAACTTACTGCTCTAACTAAACCAACACCCAACAATGAGAAAGCTGACCGCGAGCTCTTTTATTTACCTCGGCCTACGTCATATGACGCGTTGCTATAGCGGGAAAGGCGTATTCCAGAGCCTAGTACATTTTCATCAAAATCTCAATATCAAATGAGATTTCATTAGTAATTTCTACATATGTGTTTTTAAAATACCTCTGCAGACAATTTAAAGTATTAATTCAGAAATAAATTCATGCATGTTGCTCTTAAAGCATGTTTGGCCCGGGTCTTTGTTGCATTTACACGGTTCTGACCACTAGGGGTCACGCGGAGACGGGTGTCGGATTGTTTCGAAGCCTCCACACAATACGGCACATTTGCTTTCACAGTTTCAGTGATCCACGAAGTCTCGATCTGCCCACAACACCACTACTAATACATGATCAAATAAACGTACCTACAGTCTGAAAACAGCAGATTTAGAGCAGAATGAACGGCTGTGTTCCACTTCTCGTGTTTATGTTCCCTCGCTCACTTCTCTTCTTCTCCTAGACTGAGTAGGGGGAGGCTGCAGACCTGGAGCCGGCAGATATACGCCCCTGGCAGTTTTACGCCCCGGCAGTTTTACGACCCTGTTGTTCCTGATGCGTCCAGTAGAGGGATATACTGCGAAATAACATCATTAAATCGACGCTTAATAACCCGTCCATAGACTTGACAATTTTGTGTTTTTTGTTCATTTAAATATAAACGTTATAGTGTAGATCTGCACGGATTAAATTATCTGTTTAACAAAAAAACAAAGGGGGTAAACGGACATCAAAAGAGATTGAATTAGGGTACACAAATATGCAATATTAAATTTTGTCAATATAAAAACATGTAAGGTTCTTTACAACAGACTCAATGATATTATTTGTTTTATAAACCTTTGAGTTTAAAGGTTCTGACATTTTCTTAAAGGAAGAAAAAAAATGAACTTTATATCAGAGGAGAATATTCTAGAATCAGGATTACTTTGAATGGTTCTGTCTTTATGAAGATGAAACTTGCCCAGAAGACAAAGTAATAATACCGTATAATCAAGATTAACATCGTTAGAATTAAAATCTGACAAAAATAGATTCTGTCATTTGTATGTTAAATAATCTGCTAAAGTTATTGTTTTTTAGCAATGATGCAACATTTATTATTTATAAACGATTAGCTCGATAGAGCTAGGGTAGGTAGATATCAATTCATATATATATAATAATGGATGGGTCTATAATGTATTTTGACAGGTTTCTGTTCTATCTGGCTTAAACTTAACTAACCGCGTGTAGGTTTAGCTTCCCCTATCTTCTCTACTCAATTTAAAATTAATTTTAATTTTAATTTTCTTTTGTTGCCTGTCTTCAGCTTGGCCTCTTCTGGTAAGACTCTGTTTACTCCTTGCATTAAAACATACTCCACATGGTTTATAGAGCAATATTACAGTAGATAATGGAAATATGTGAATTTTTTTTACAGTCTATGGTGTGAACACACAAAAGACACATTTATAATAGGTATGTAAATCTCTCTCTCTCTCTCTAAGTACAGAGTTAAACTGCACACTCACTCAAATACGTTAAAACACATTACAAACTTTCCCCATATGGTTTGAATGTAGATTCTGGTTTGAGTTGTTTCTTATAAATGAGATGATCTAATTATCTCATTTACATCTTAATATACATTTTTTCTTAAAATAGCTTACTGATCTGGACTCAAATGTAGGGTATGTGCACTTAATGTGGGTTTTATCATACTCTGTCTTTACCAAGTTCTCTTTAACTTGGATCTCATAAAGGTGTGTTTGCTTTAGCTACTTAAGGAAACACACACACACACACACACACACACACACACACACACACAGGGACAAGGTCAAATTCACCATGGATGTCCTTTTTAACTTTTTTAATGTTTCATTTTTTAATGTTTCATCAGTGAGCAGGAGCAGTTAAAGAAAAAAAAAACAGTTAAAGAAGAGTGGCAAACCATAGGGGAGTCATCATAATTCATAAATGGTGTTAATAAATATTTTTTTGTGAACAACAATATTGTCTATATCTTCTAAATGGCCAATGGAATTTTAGAAAAGGGATAAATTGTGTTTGTCTTCATAAAATGCTGTGTAGGACACTGTTTTGTAGCTGTATGATGACCAATAGAATAGTACAGCAGATATTTAATCGAGGATCCATATTATTACACGGTACTGCATGTCTAATGGGCTAAATATGGTTAATATCTAAATGTGACTTTATATAAATTCACAAAAACATATTTCACTCAGTCTCCTGTATATAAAAACCTATGGTGAATTGGCCTATAACTGCAGTAGGTCATAGCATCACCTGTCATAACACATAGTTGATCCAACTATGTGTATTTTTAATTTTTCAATTCACAAAAACAAATAGTCTTCTGTAGGTTGAGTGAAGAGAGTGAAGCCCAACTGAATATCTACAGAAAATTGAATCCGTGGAGATCTACACTGTAACGTTTATATTTAAATTAACAAAAAACACAAAATTGTCAAGTCTATGGACGGGTTATTAATGTGTAAGCGTCGATTTAATTATGTTATTTCGCAGTATATCCCTCTACTGGACGCATCAGGAACAACAGGGTCCTAAAACTGTCGGGGCGTAAAACTGCCAGGGGCGTAAATCTGCCGGCTCCAGGTCTGCAGCCTCCCCATATAGCCTAGACTCGGATGTGTGTCATTGCTTCGGTTGCTCGAGCGCCTCTTCTTCTTCTTCTTCTTTCTTTTAATGGCGGTTGGCAAACAACTTTTAAGTGTGCATTACCGCCACCTTCTGATATGGAGTGTGGATCACAATAGCCTTTCCTCACTACCTTTAAATAAATATATAAATAAATACATACATCCATAATAAAACCAATAAATAACTTCATAAATATTTAATAACATTATTAATATTCATACATGATCATTGTTATTAAATACAACTTTCTAAGACAACTCAACTCAT